GTGTTGTGGCACAGTGAGTTAAGCTGCTGCCTACCACCCCAGCATCCCATATGGGGCTCTGGTTCAAAGCCCAGCTGTTCCACTTCTGAACCAGCTTCCTGCTGATGGGCCTGAGAAGGCAGTGGAAGCCCCTGCAACCAAGTGGGAGACCTGGAGAGAATTCCAGGTTCCTGACTTAAGACTGATCCAATCATGGCCGTTGCAGCTATTTGGGGAGTGGACCAGAAGATTGAAGATATCTCTCTCTGTGTAACTCTGCCTTTCAAATGAAATAAATAATTTTTAAAAAAAGATATATTCATTTGGGAAATACAGAGAGAGGGAGGGAGGGGGAGAGAGAGATCTTCCATCTGTTGGTTCACTCCCCAGATGACCACAGTAGCCAGGTTTGAGCCAGGCCAAAGCTTGGACCCAGAAATACCATCTGGTTCTCCCATGTGGGTGGCAGAGGCCCAGATATTTTGGCTATCTTCCACTGTCTTCCCAGGTACATTGGCAAGAAGCTGGATCAGAAGTGGACCAATTGGGGCCAGCGGGTAAAGCATCCTATAGGGGCACAGGTTTGAGTCCAGGCTGCTCTACTTCTGCTCCAGCTCTCTGCTGTGGCCTGGGAAGGTAGAAGATGGCCAAGTTCTTGGGACCCTGTACCCAAGTGGGAGACCTGGAGGAAGCTCCAGGCTCCTGGCTTCAGAACCAACAGATTAAAGATCTCTCTCTGTCGCTCTCTCGCTCTCTCGGCATCTGTAACTCTACCTTTCAAATAAATAAATAAATCTAAAAAAAAAAAAAAAAAAAGAAATGGACCAATTGGGACTCCAACCAGCAATCTGAAATGTAATGCATTATAAGTCAAAGTTGCACCACAGCCACAATCTCTCCATTGTCAGCTCCATAAAGTGCTGGTCCTATCCTCTCTTCATATTATCTCTTCTCCCCAGAATTCAGTGCTGCTGGAATATTCTGAGCTGGTGACTTGTATTCATCGGTATACATTTTTCTACCTCATGTTAATTCTGAGGCTTCATTGTGGCTGTTTTAGTGAGATGAAGGAATCAGACCAAACAGTGTTAAAATTTTTCAGCATTCCTGAAGAAATATAATTTATTTTTTAAATCTGCAAATTAAATACAGAATATCTAATATGATAAGCACAACATACACTGAGTGACCACCCTGCATCCAATCTAGTATCAGTGAGAGGTAGCATGACCCCTGTTCACAGGTTAAAGACCCCACCTAAGCCATCTGTGCTGACAAGAGGAAGTGGCTGCGGGGCATTGCCAGGACTCCCCTAGGTTTCCTGGGTGGCCCAGTGCCTTTGTTAAAGTTCCTTCCTTCCTTCCTCCCTGGTCTCCCTCCCCCCACTCCCTCCTCTCCCTCCCCTCCCCTCCCTCCTTCCCTCCCTTCCTTTCTTCTTTCCTTGCTTTTCTCTCCTCTCTACCCTCCCCCCCTCCCCTCCCCCCCCTCCCCTCCCCTCCCTCCTTTCCTGTCCTGTCCTGTCCTGTCCTGTCAAGGCAGAGTTAGAGAGGGAGAGAAGAGAAATCTTCCATCTGCTGGTTCATTCCCTAAATGGCTGCAGTGGCTGGGGCTGGGCCAGGCAGAAGCCAGGAGCTTCATCTGGGTCTCCTACATGGGTGCAGAAGCCCAAGGACTTGGGCCATCTTCTGTTGCTCTTCCCAGGCCTTAAACAGAGAGATGAATTGGAAACGGAGCAGCCAGGACTCAAACCAGTGCCCATATGGGATGGCAGCGCTGCAGGAACAGCTTAACCTATTACACCACAACTCCAGCCTCCACTATCACGTGTTCTTTTTTTAGGGAGGAGTGTGAGGGTGGGTTGAAAGACTTACTTATTTGAAAGGCAGAGTGACAGACAGAGAGGGACAGAGAAAAGGAATGGGTAAGTAGGTAGGTCTTCTATCTGCTGGTTCACTCCCCAAATGCCTGCGATGGATAGAGCTAGGCCTATCCAAAGCCAGGAGCCAGGAGCTTCTTCCAGGTCACCCTTGGGAGTGCAGGAGCCCAAGGACTTGAGCCATCTTCTCCTGCCTTTCAGACCATAGCAGAGAGCTGGATCAGAAGAAGAGCATCCAGGTCTTGAACTGGTACCCATATGGGATACTGGCATTGCAGGCAGCAATTTTACCCGCTGTGCCACAGCTCTGGCCCCTCTACTATCGTGCTTTAAAAAGATTTATATACAAAAGCTATACTGAAATAGTTGTTAAAAGTTTACATAAAATATCTGGTCTTTGTTTTCATGTTTGATAATGGTCTGTTGGGGATGAATAGTTTTGGTATGGTCACAGCAGAAATATCAGGCCTGAATTCATATGGGTGTCTGTAAGCAAGTACTATGGTAACATGTATGAGTCAGATGCCTCTTCCCTAACTAGTGTAAAAAGTGAGTGGGGGCCGGCGCCGCGGCTCACTAGGCTAATCCTCCGCCTTGCGGCGCCGGCACACCGGGTTCTAGTCCCGGTTGGGGCGCCGGATTCTGTCCTGGTTGCCCCTCTTCCAGGCCAGCCCTCTGCTGTGGCCAAGGAGTGCAGTGGAGGATGGCCCAGGTGCTTGGGCCCTGCACCCCATGGGAGACCAGGAAAAGCACCTGGCTCCTGGCTCCTGCCATCGGATCAGCGCGGTGCGCCGGCCGCAGCGCGCCGGCCGCGGCGGCCATTGGAGGGTGAACCAACGGCAAAAGGAAGACCTTTCTCTCTGTCTCTCTCTCTCTCACTGTCCACTCTGCCTGTCAAAAAATAAAAAAAAAAAAAAAAAAAAAAAAAAGTGAGTAGGGATGTCCCATGTGAAGTAAGCTGTCTTCAGTCCTTGGTTTTCTCCGTGTGTATTTGGGCTGTAGTACACCAATTGCTTTTGACACCGATTGTGCTCTAGGACATGCCCTTATTTAGTAGGTGTGCACCTGTCTCCTATTGGGAGTGTCTTGAGCTGTAGGGTAGGGAATCAGGTTAGTTACCAGGTGTCTTCCCTTTTACTTCTTATCTGTGATCTACGTATGCACGCTTTCACTGCCTTACAGCTTCTCAGTAGCTTTTGTTTAAGGACCCAATCCAGCAACCCAAGGACCATAGTTCAGGTTTTTTCTTGCCTTCTTAGCTTGAATGTGCTCCTTGTTTCTCCTTGATTCAGTAACATCTTCATACTGGGCAGTCTTCTCTCTGGGAGACCTGATGTAGGCCTCCAAAGACATCTTAATCTTAGGGGTCCTACCCTCGTCTTAACAGTTAATGTGTTGTGTTTTGTAATTAGCTTGCTTCCCAGTTAACAAGATATTACAGTTTTAGTGTGTAAATGGTATCTTACTGTTTTCTTCTATTTTAAAGATTTAGTTATTTACTTATTTGAAAGGCAGAGAGAGAGGGGAAGACATACATAGAGAAAGAAAGAGAAAGGTAGAGACTCTTCTGTCCCCAAATGGCTGCAACACCTGGGTCTGGGCCCAGTTGAAGCCAGGAGCCAGGAACTCCACCAGGTCTCCCACATGGATTGGAGCTCTGCTGCTTTCCTGGGTGCATTAACAGAAAGCTGGATTGGAAATAGAGCAGAAGTTCTCAAACTGGCACTGGTATGGAATGCTGGTCTGGCAAGCGATGGCTTAACCTATTGTGTGCCACAATACTGGCCCCACTACTTCTTTCTTTAACCTAACATTGAAAGATGAGCTTCTTTCTGTGTCAGTAACTACATCGTAGTCCATTCATGGATCTGTCATGTATTCTTTACCTAGATAATTTTTATTGGCTATTTAGGTTATTTCTAATCTTTTGCTTTTGTAAATAAACTTGTAGTACACATGATTTCTATCATTTGCTCAGAAGGAACCTATAGAAGTAAAATTGTTAGCTTAAAGCACCTTCTGAGGCTCTTTGGTACCTATAACCATGTGTTTTAAATGTCCCTTATGAGAATATAAGGGTCAGAGGTTGCCCACAAGCTTTTAAACTGTATTTACAGTTAGGGACTGTTGGCTGCTGGGAATTCAGGGATTTTAAACAGTTTTTTGTTCTTTGGAATTTATATAAGTCCTGGCCTGCAAATTCTCTGCAAGTAACAGACCTAACTACAGATGTGCTTCCCGTGTTTGGCTTCCTAGAGCAATTTGAGAGAATATACAAGGGTACTTTAAAAAGTTTGTGTAAAAGTGAAATTAATAGTTTATTTTGTTAACAAAAAAAATTTTGAGATCCAGGTATAAAGTAGTCTTCAAAAAGTTAGTGAAAAGTATATATTATGGAAAAACTGTGAATGGATTTCAGAATTTTTGCAGTGAAGATAATTTTATCTTTTTAAATATAGATTTATTTGTTTGAAAGGCAGAGTTACAGAGAGCAAGAGAGATCATCTATCTGCTGTTTTACTCCCCAAATGGCTGCAACAACCAGATCTGGGCTGATCTGAAGCTGGGAGCCAGGAGCTTCATCTAGATCTCACATTTGGTTGCAGAGGCCCAAGCACTTGGCCTGTCTTCCACTGCTTTCCCAGGTGTATTACCAGGGAGCTGGATCAGAAGTGGAGCTACTGGAACTTGAACCATATACCCAAATGGGATGCTGGCGCCACAGGCAACGGCTTTACGCACTACACCACAGCATCGGCCCTGATAATTTATCTTTTAATTTCATTTTTACAAGAACTTTTTGAAGTTCCCTTGTATATCACATTGGGAAACCCACAACTCTTTTGCTAATGTTGGATGCTACATTGTTGTTTATTAGAAAAGGGATAGTTTTGCTGAAGTTTCAAATGAAACTGATTTTGTTGGAAGGGTGCTAATGAAAGCAAAGATAGAAAATCAAGAGATTTGTAAAATCTTAAAAGATTGTAAGAATATGAACTTAAAACACAAAGCAGAGAACTGAGAGAAAGAATTTGGAAATCAAGCCTTGGTCTGACATAGACATGATTGTATGCTTTTCTCAAAAATGTGGAGCACTCTAAAAGAAACTACAGTTATAATTTGATTTTTTTCTTCTTCATTTTAGGTATCTCATTCAGTTGCTAAACTTATATTAGTTAATTTCCACTGGCAAGTCTCAGAGATTTTGGACAGGTAAGGTATTTGGGAGAGGGGAGATGACATTGCCCATAGCTCTCCTCTCTGCCCATGCACCCAGTGGTGATCATTGTTTATGTTTCGGAGTATATTTTTCCATTATGCATATTATATTTGTAAGCACTAGATTATATTGTACCTTCATTTCCCCCAGTATATTGTGAACATTTTCCTACATCTTCAGTGTGTTTTTCTTCCCCAGTTCTAATGCTAGCTTAATATTTCATCTTATAGATTGTTGTTGGACAGTGAAGTTAGTTTGGGTTTTCTGGCCTGTTAATTTTTAATCAGTGCCCTTCTAGTTAACACTTGCCAACATCCCAGTTATTTCTCTTGGATACATCAAGTGAGTCGTGCATCCTAACCCATGGCATATTGTCTTTAGAGCTCGACTGCTTTACCACCCAGCACATCTGTGAGCAGGGCCTTGGAGTGTTTCTTTCTACCGACTCCAGAACCAGAGCTCTTGAGGCACAGGCATTGGAATCTCGAGCTGTCTTGGAACTTGTTGGGAAGAGGGCTTCCTCCTTCTCCTACATCCTTTGGAAAGATCTCTGCCCCCCCCCCCCCCCCCCCCCCCAGCCATGTGCTTCCGTCTAGTGCTGTAGTTCTCATCTTCAACATTGTTGCCATTTTGGGCTGAGTAATTCTTGTTGTGGAGTACTGTTTTGTGAATTTTAGGATATTTGACAGTGCCTTTGGGCTCTGCCTACTAGATGTCAGTAGCAGTGACATCCTCAAGTCCTAGACAATCAAAAATATCTTCAGACATTGTCCAGTTACCTGCCGGGAGCAACATTTCACTGGTAGCCACCTCTCCCAGCTTCCTTTCTCTGCCTGGAATGATTCCATTTATTTATCTCTAGAGGAAGGTCATTCCTTTTCTTCTCTGGACTCAGCACAGCTAGAGCGGCCATACTGCTGGAATAGCTCAGCACCCTCCGGAAGAGGCTGATTCACTCGTTGCACTCTTAGGCTCTGTACTCAAGAACTGAACGTAGGGAGGGGTGGGGGAATCACCACTGTGAAGTATATGAAACTTGTATAACTTGAATAAAATTTTAGAAAAAGAACTCAATGTGTTTCATCTCCATCCAAACTCTAGGATAATTTAAGAGTAGAGATTTGGGATGGCTAAAGATATTTAGAATACTAGAGTGGGAACTAGAATAAATTGGGTCCTTCAACAAGGATAGTTGAAGAAAACATTCTGACTAGGTAAGGTAAAGAAATCACATAGATGAGATATAATTCTTTTCTTTTTCTAAATAAGTTTTATTTATTTGAAAGAGCTACAGAGAGGAGGAGACAGTGAACATGCTGGTTCACTCCCCAGATGGCCATAACAACCAGGGCTAGGCCAGGTTGGAGCCAGGAGCTTCTTCCAGATCTCCCACGTGGGTGGCAGGGACCCAGATTCTTGAACCATCACATGCTGCCTCCCAGGGTGCACATTAGCAAGAAGTTGCATCATAAGTGGAGAGCTGGGAGTTGAACCAGGCACTTTGATATGGGATAATGGATATCCCAAGCAGCAGCCTAACCACTGTGCCAAATGCTTGCCTTTTTTTTTTTTTTTTGACAGGTAGACTTATAGACAGAGAGAGAGAGAGAAAAAGGTCTTCCTTCTGTTGGTTCACCCCCTAAATCGCCACTATGGCCAGAGCTACACTGATCCGGAGCCAGGAGCTTTCTCCCGGGCTCCCATGCGGGTGCAGGGGCCCAAGCACTTGGGCCATCCTCCACTGCCTTCCTGGGCCACAGCAGAGAGCTGGACTGGAAAAGGAGCAACCAGAACTAGAACCTGGGGTGCCGGCGCCGCAGGCAGAGGATTAGCCTAGTGAGCTGCGGCGCCGGCCCCTGCCTTTGTTTTTATTTTTGAATGTATTTATGCCACAGTTCATTCCAGATTGGAATTAAATCCTTTTTCTGAGAGATCATGTGTTTTTTTTTTTTTTTTTTTAAGATTTATTTATTTATTTGAAAATCAGAGTTACACAGAGAGAGGAGAGGCAGAGAGAGAGAGGTCTTCCATCCACTGGCTCACACCTCAATTGGCCGCAATGGCCAGACCTACGCTGATCCAAAGCCAGGAGCCAGGAGCTCCTTTCGCATCTCCCGCGCAGGTGTGGGGGCCCAAGGACTTGGGCCATCTCTACTGCTTTTTCAGGCCACAGCTGAGAGCTGGATGGGAAGTGGAGCAGCCAGGTTTGGAACGGGTACCCCTATGGGATGCTGGACTGCAGGCGGTGGCTTTATCTGCTACGCCACAGTACTGGCCCCAGGATCATGTGTTTCTAAAAAAATGTATGTGATACACGTAAACTTTAAAGAATAATAAGCACTCTCTTGTCCACTCAAATAAGAAACCTTCTGACCTTTATTCAGAGGCCTGTAATGACAATCCTGGCCTGGCTACATCCCCTTCCTTTTCTCTTCTCAAGGCAACCAGCGTCTTGAACTTAGTGTTGATCAGTTTCTTATTCTTTTTTTTTTTAATGTAAGTTATGTCTTGTATATTTTTGGAACATTATAAACATGGAATTATACTGTATGTAATCTCCAGCTGTTTAAATGAACATAGTTGCATTTTATGTCATTCTCTTGTCAAAGGACTTTTATCCTCCTGTCAGAAAAAGTTTTGTGAATTTTGAATCTTTCACTACTAATGTAACGCAGCTTTGCAAACTCTTGTAGATGGCTCACTTAATTTTTCTTAGGCTAAGCAGGAAAAGTGAATTCCTGGGTTTTAGTGTATGTGTATCTGCAACTTTACTTGATAATGCCAGACTGTTTTCTAAAATGGTTGTACCACTTAGATGAATGTTCTTCCTACTGTCTGACTTAATTTTGCAATTGGAAGGTATAACTGGTATCTAGTCATTTCATTTTCCCTGGTTGGTAAAGAGATTGAGCATGTTTTTCTGCTACCTCTAATACTTGTTAAATCTTCTGCCCAGTGGTTTTTTTTTTTTTTTTTTTTTTTTTGAGTCGTCCTTTTAAGTTTTTTATTTTGAATACTAGTCCTTTGCCAGTTAAATTGAATTATCTTTTAGTTTATGACTGTGGGTTTTCATTTTAGGTTTTCTGATAAACTGAAGTTATTAAGTATAGCATACCTTAAGATTTTTTTTTCCTTTATGTCTTAAGAAATTCTACCTCTTCTGTAGATAGTTGTTTCTTTAGATTTTCCAACTGAGATTTAAAGCAGATCTTAGTCATCAAAATGATTTTTTCTTACAGTTTAGTACCTTTGAACCAGGATTATTTTTCTTTTTACCAATTGAGAGCTCCAAATTTGAAAGGAAAGTTTTCTTTTTTTAATTTTGAGAGGCAGAGAGACAACTCGATCCACTTTTTTACTCGGATGCCCACAACAGCCTGGATTGAGCCAACAGAAGCTGGGAGATGGGTCTCCCATGTGGGTAGCAGGGTCCTAACTAGGTGAACCATCATCACTGCCTCTCAGGGTCCTCATTAACAAGAAGCTTGGGTTAGGAGCTGGAGCCAAGAATTGAACCTATGTATGTCAGTATGGGGCTCAGGTGTCTTAACCAGCTTTTTAACCACTAGGCCAAGTATCTGCCCCTTAAAGAAGTTTGTGGACTAAAGGAAAAGGGAGCTTGGTTCTGTGAGGAGGTAACTAGACACAAAACAATTTAATGTGACCACAACACATAGTGGTCTATCCTGTTCTTGTTCTGAGGCAAAAAGATATCTTCAGCTTCTAATTCCCTTTATTTCTGCTTTTTGTTTTGTAGATACAAGTCCAATTCTGCTCAACTGCTTGTTGAAGCCCGAGTTCAACCTAATCCATCAAAACATGTGAGTGTCTCTTACTTGAGTGAGGCTTTTCCCACTGCACATGCCTCTTGCCTGTGACTTGCAGTATTGGTGAGAACCATCGTTGCTTTGTTTCAGTGCAACATGCCCAAAGCATTTGTTCCAGTATAGGCCTGAGTCTTTGATTTTTGGTGTAGTTTGGAATTTTCCTTCCTTGATCGATTGTACATCCTTGTCTGCTTGTCTATTCTTGTGCTCTCTCCAGCCTTACCTTCCTCTCTGTACTTAAACTGAGCCTCACTCCATTGCTTCCGGGTATCTGAGTGCTTGAGAAAACAGCATACCTCTTTAATTCTGCTTGTGTCTTCCCTGGCCTGGAATGTGTGGATTCTGTCCCCATCTTTGCTGGTAGGAATGGAGTTCACTTTTAAAGATCCAAATCCAAGCCACCTTTTCTCAAAGGCTGTTTCCTTTCCAAACTTCTCTAATTATATCTTTGAACTTCTACGTGTGTGTTCCTGGCACAGGAATCATAATGGATAGCAATTTTGTGTGTATCTAGGAGCTCAATGAACACTGTATATTTTTTGAATGAGATCCATATTAAAAGTGCTCTTAAGGAGAATTGGAGCTGATGTTGCTACGGGATCTCTGCAGCCTCTTAGAAGAAAGGTTTCCAGAACACACTGTTAAACAGAATAGAGTTCTTTTCCTCGGCCTCTGACTGGGTCTGTGGGGCTTGCCGATGAGCCCTGCTTGCTTACAAAGGGAACCCAATAGCCTCCAGGAGGAGTGGGAGTAAAATGACTTCCAGGGGCTTGGGCAGTTCTGAGATCTTCAGTTTTTCAGTCTAACATTATAAGCCACTTTTAAGTTTTTATTCCACTCTTCTTTCTACATCTCTGAATCCTAGTGATTCTGCAAGCCCAGCTTAGGTGCCACCTCTTTCAGGAAGCCTTCCTGATTTGGGTTTTCTGTTTAGCACACTTGGGATTGATTCGGAGTCTTCCTGCACATGTGATTGAGCTTTGACACTTGTTGTAGGGTTATGCATCCAACTTCGTGAGGCACCCTTGTGCCCCCTCCAGACCTGCAACCTCCTCTTGGCTCATACACCTCTGCCTTTCTCCAGGTCCCCACAGCCCATCCCCCTCACCACTGTGCAGTGTGTATGCAGTTTGTGCGGAAGGAAAACCTACTTTCTTTGGCCTGTCAGCACCAGTTTTGCCGCAGCTGCTGGGAGCAGCACTGCTCAGTGCTTGTCAAGGACGGCGTGGGTGTGGGTGAGTCTGCCACACAGCTTCTGAGAGTCTAGCATCAAGTATTTACCTTTCACTGTGCATTTTCATGCACTCAACAAAACCGTTTTCTTCTAAGACTGATTAAGATTTTTATTGTCAGAACTGGAGGTTTACAAACACATCACTCCCAACTGTAGCAGGGTTTCTCATGTCCTCTGCAAAATGAGAAAATTAAAGATATTGTTGTTAATATTGAAGCATGTGCAAAGCTACCTTGTCTCCCTTTCAGGAGAATTCTCCTTTAAGCTGCCTACACGGTGTTGATTCTCCAAGTGGCAGCTGTGATTCAGAAATACACAAGAGAGGTTGCTATCACTTAGGTAACAGCGCAAATCAAATGTGATGATCCAGTTACAAAAGTATATGTTATTCTATGACTTGATGATATTGACACTAATTAGCATTAATTAGTATCACAAAATTTTACTGTGTTCATGATGATCATGCACAAATAATACTAAAAGTCACAAAACTAAATTGTTGGTCAGAAACCTTATACAAGAATTTAAAAAAAATTTTTTAGTGGTGCTTTTGATATATATACTATTTAAAATATATTTAAGTTGCATCATTGCAAAAATATGTTAATTTGCTTCCTCTTTAAATAAATTCTGTTGCTTGAAGAGTTTGTTATAGAATCTGAATTCGTTGGTTTAATACAGTGGACAAGAATGTTGTTACTGGGTCTTTGCAACACAGTTGTCCATCAGGGTGTCTTTGTTCAATAGGAGTCTCTTGTATGGCTCAGGACTGTCCACTTCGTACACCAGAGGACTTTGTGTTTCCGTTGCTTCCCAATGAAGAACTGAGAGACAAATACAGGCGCTACCTCTTCCGGGACTATGTGGAGGTATGACCAGACCCTGTTGTTCTGCCCTCTGTCTTCCTGGGCCTACCTTGCATCAGATGATCACCATAGTTACTTAATTCATACACTCAAATACCATTAATTAGGTGCTGTCCTTTGAAGAAAGAGCTCCATAGCGTTAAAAGAGTTTGAAAACCACTGTCATGGTAGTGAAAAACACAGGCCCTGGAGTCAGACAAAGCACTGTGTGATTCCCAGGTCTTGCTTTTGACCATGGGCCCTCTCTGGAGTCTTGGTTTTCTCTTCTGTAGGATGTGGCACGCATTTCTACCTTATACACATAGTTACCTCAACAAGCTGTTTCATGTCAGGGTGAGCACAAGGCAGGCGTCTCTCAGGAGTTGCTGTTGCTTTGGTTCACTGTGTGACTCAGCATAGAGGAAAGGAGTATAGTGTTTTTTGTTTTTTTGGGTTATTTTTTGCAAAATAAATATTTGTCCAAGGTTCCTACAGGGAGCCCTTTTCCTCTATTGGACTACGTGTCTGGTTTTGCAGACTTGATTAGCATAGTTTTCATCTTTGTTTTTTATGTCTAAGCTTATTGTATTGATTTATAGTCTGGATCTTGTCAATCATGTCTGAAGAATAAGCATTAAGTCTTGCTGTTTGTTTCTTTGTTTCCTTTTGTAGATTCCTGAGGGTTATTGAGCTTTTAAGAGCTGTCTTATGCACAGCTGTCTAGGCTTTGCTCCTTTCCAGCCCTGGTCAGTAGGCACATTCATCTCACAGATACAATTTTGTATTCTATTTTGTAATAGAATCTTAGATCATTCTAGTGAGTTACTACCTGGCTTAAGCCAAGCATTTAGAGGTCTTCCTCATTATTTGGCTAATGTCTGGTCTTCACGACATCTGTCCTGTGTTCATATATTCCCTTGATATATGTTGTCAGCTGGAAGAACAGAAGGCATTTGAGTAGTTGGGGGGGAGGTGTCTGGTTTGGAGGTCACAACAAAGGGATGTCTTCATTGTTTCCCCTTGGTGTGTTGACAGAGTCATTACCAGCTCCAGCTGTGTCCTGGTGCAGACTGTCCCATGGTTATTCGAGTACAGGAGCCTAGAGCTCGCCGAGTGCAGTGCAATCGGTGCAACGAAGTCTTCTGGTAAGAGTGAGTGTGAGCACTGAGCAGTCCTGGGCTCATGCCCCGTCCTCCTCCAGAGCACTGCTGCTGCTGTTCTGTGTGAGAGCAGGGCTGGCAGAGGCGGGGTCTCTGAGCCAGAAGAGCAGGTGTGCTCCAAGTGTGCGGGTTTGTGCTCAGCGTCTCAAGTTCCACAAGGTGCTTGATAAATGCTCAGTCTGGACATGAGGAAGTGGCACACATTCTTGGAGAATTCATTATGGTTTATGCTACTCATGGCCCAGAGATTATCTTTGTGGGTGTGTGTCTGCCCACAGATTCACATGTTACTGTATTTAAAAGCTATAGTCTTCAACATTTTTTAAAAACATTATTTATTTATTTATTTATTTGAGAGGCAGAATTACAGATAGAGAGAAAGAGAAAAGTCTTCTAACCACTGGTTCACTCCCCAGTGGCCGAAGTGGCTGGAGCAGACCCAATCCAAAGCCAGGAGCCAGGAGCTTCTTCTGGATCTCTCATATGGGTGCAAGGTCCTAAGCACTTAGGCCATCTTCTGCTTTCCCAGGCCATAGCAGAGAGCTGGATCAGAAAAGAAGTAGGACACTAACCAGCACCCATATAGGATGCTGGTGTTACCTGCCATGCCACAGCAACAGCCCTAACCTTCAACATTTTAATCTGTCTTGACTGATTTTTTTTTTTTTGGTAAAGCTATAATTCGTAAATGTGTTCTATATCTATTCAACACTTGTTCCATTTAGTAATTATCATGGGAATAACATATACTGAGGACTTACCAGGTGAAAGCTACTATCCTGATCACTTTCTCGCATTATCACAAAGTATAATGGGTGCTGCGGTTGACCCTTATGTTCTAGGTGGGAAAACTGAGGTGCAAGATAAGTGTAACTGGCAGAGTCATCATGTAGGTCCAGATCTGTTTTCCTAATTGTGCCCCCCAGAAAGACTCATGATGGGCTTCAGAAAAACTACATGGAAAACATGATGTATGTGCACAAAAAGCAGGCCTGCCTTTCCAGTACTGTTGAGGAATCTGTGGCCCACCAGAGATTAAGAGCAACTAATGTGCTTGCTCTTTCTCCTTTGCCCCACGTCATGGACTTCTTTCTCTTGGGCCTGTGTTTGGCTTTATGCTAAGGGCTTTTGCTATCGATAAAATGCTGTTTTGGATCAGAGGCAGATGAAAGCTACACCTATACCTACAGATTTTGCAGGTTCGGGCATTTGTTCATCCTTGTGAGCACATTGGCTGGCGAGGTAAATCCCAGTCCTGTCTTAGATCTGAGCCAGCAGTTCCTTCTCAGGATATCTCATCATGCCTTAAGAGGCTAGGCTCTGTGTTTGCCATCTTTTCCTGTAGGGTTGACCCCACATACATACTTAAGCAGAAGTATTCCGTTTGGGCATGTTGAAAGCATGCCTTAGAGGGGCTCAGGTTGAAGAGACGTTCAGACATTTTGTCAGTGTAATCCTGGGTAAGTAAAAGTTCCAGAGGCCTCACAAGGCGACTTAAAAGCTCTAATTCAGCATCAGTTGGCTTGGACAAAAGAAAAATTTTAAACATGAAACTCTGATTTAATAACTATTTGAATGTTTTTCTTTTCCAATTTTAAGTTTCAAGTGTCGTCAGATGTATCACGCCCCCACAGACTGCGCCACAATCCGGAAATGGCTCACGAAGTGTGCAGACGACTCTGAAACGGCCAACTACATTAGTGCCCACACTAAAGACGTAAGGACCGTATCTTAACTGTCACGGATCAGCCTTCCTTAGAGCTGCCCAGGGCTCTACCCTGGAGGTCGGTCATCTGAGAGCAAAACACCCAGAGCCCCAGGGGCCCTGCTGGGGGCTGTGAACCCTCACTCAGACTTTTCAGGCGTTTGCAGCAGCTTATCATAGCATTCATTGGGTGTATTTATTTTAATAAAATGCCAAAATACTTGTAACTGACCCAAAGGGAAACTAACTAGAATAGTTACCAGGCTTTAACCACCCTGGGAAAGAGGTAGTTAATAGCTACACTTAATAGCAATGCTGTAACACAAGCCCAAATCTGCCCAGTTATCATTTTGAAGCTTCCCACGGGAAAGCATGGCCTGCAGGCTCTAGGGGCCACTGTTTGCTATGCTAGTCTCCTGCCGAGTCAGTTCCCCCGCGAGCACAGCTGTGACTGTGACGTCACGAAATCTGGTCTTGTTCATTGCAGTGGGAGACACAGCATCAGACTCGTTCCTGCAGTTGAGGGCTGCATTGGGCTGCTGGGCTCTCAGTGGGATAGGGGAACTGTAGAGGTGATTTCCTTGCCCTCTCTGGAAGCAGAAGTCCAGACAGGCTGACCGGGGCTTAATCCAGCGTGGCAGGTCTTGTGCTCCTTTGGCAGTCTTCCCAAGCCGGCAGGCCTTTTGCTGATTCAGCCTGTGCTTAATCTGAGCCGCTTCATGGCAGGGACAGATGGTGTATGACTTAGTGGGGCTCAGCTGGTGCTTCGAGTGTTTCAGAGCCAAACATGCTGACCTCATTTCCTTGAATTGCTATTCCAGCCTCAGCGACCTGCCACATTTAAATGAGATGCTCCTCCCCAGAAGTGCTCGCACGATGAGCTACTGGGCACGGGTGCCAGGCGCTTTGTGTAATTTGTCTTAGAACCGGCCTGATGGTGTGTGAGCCTAACGGCGCCCTTCTGTCTCCTCAGTGTCCCAAGTGCAACATCTGCATTGAGAAGAATGGAGGCTGCAATCACATGGTGAGCAGAAGCCTGTACACTTTGCATGTGTGACATGGAGCCTTTGGTCAGCGTGTCCTTAACATGTTCTCTTCTGTTTCCCTCTGACAGCAATGCTCCAAGTGTAAACACGGTGAGTCCCAGGCTTGGTGCTTAAGGCCCAGTGGCACGATCTGTGTTTCTCGTGCTTGGGTCTCCAGTGACTGTTGTAATGATATGACAAAGCAAAGGGCCACCTAAGTCACAGTACAGTCATCGTAACCGCATACAGCCCTGTTGGTTTTTTATTTTATTAATATTCAGATCCGTCATATCATCCCACTGCCATCTTGGCTGACAGACAGTCAGAAGTCGTGAGTGGGATGATCTTGTGATACTCAGGCATCCAGTAAAGTGTTACTGTGTTTTTTGTTTTTTTAATTTTTGCCAAGGCAGGTAAGCAGCATGGGTCTTACCTATGCTAACTGATAGATTTATTTTTATTTTTCCATTTATATGTGTATGTATTTTCATTTTGTTCGAAAGACACAGAGACAGAAATAATCCATCTGCTGGTTCACTGCCCAAATGCCCACAACAGCCAGGGCTGGATGAGATTTAAGTCAGGAGCTGGGAACTCCATCTGGATCTCTCATGTGGGTGGCAGGTATCCATCACCTGCTGCCTCCCAAGTTCTTCATTACAGGGAACTGAAATCAGAAACTAAGAGCCAGACTTGAACCCAAGTACTCTGTTAAGGATATGGGCATCTCAAACGGTATCTTAGTCCCTACACCAAAAACCTATCCCTAGGTACCTTTTAGAGCAGGCTGTCTATGGTTTTATGAGAGGTAGCAAAATTATAGTTTTTCCTTGAGATTTTTTTTTAAGACTTTTTTATTTGAAAGGCAGAGTTACAGAGAGGCAGAGGGAGAGAGAGAGACAGAGGTCTTCCATCCACTGGTTCACTCCCCAGATGGCCACAATGGCTGGAGCTGCACTGATCCGAAACCAGAAGCCAGGAACTTCATCCGGGTATCCGACAGGGGCCCAATTCCTTGGGCCATCTTCTACTGCTTTCCCAGAGCTGGATCGGAAATGGAGGAGCTGGGATTCGAACCGGTGGCCATATGGGACACTGGCGCTGCAGGCAGTGGCTTTACCTGCTACGCCACAGCACCAGCCCCTTCCTTGAGGTTTCATAAAATGTCCAGAGTGTCTTTTTTTTTTTTTTGACAGAGTGGACAGTGAGAGAGACAGAGAGAAAGGTCTTCCTTTTCCTTTTTTTTGCCGTTGGTTCACCCTCCAATGGCCGCCATGGCTGGCGCACCGCGCTGATCCGATGGCAGGAGCCAGGTACTTATCCTGGTCTCCCATGGGGTGCAGGGCCCAAGCACTTGGGCCATCCTCCACTGCACTCCCGGGCCACAGCAGAGAGCTGGCCTGGAAGAGGGGCAACCAGGACAGAATCCGGCACCCCGACCGGGACTAGAACCCAGTGTGCCGGTGCTGCAGGCGGAGGATTAGCCTAGTGAGCTGCGGCGCCAGCCCAGAGTGTCTTTTATTGTGGCCTCTTGGGTCTCTTCATCTATAAGGAGCAGTTTACATAGCTAGAGCCTATTGGTTTTTGCTTTCTTGAAATGGAAAATATATCCAAGTAGGTCTCCTACAAAGTTACTTCAGTGGTCTCTTCAGAGACCCCCAAGAGTTTCATTTTATAAGGGTCTGTGCTAGTGCTGTTACCAGGAGCCCTCTGTAATCAGGGTGGATGTGGTAAGGTCTAGACAGGAACAGTGACTGAAGTATAGAACAAAGATGGGCCAAGAGTAATGGCGTATTTCCTCTCTCTTTCTAGGTGTGTGAGTGAGAGAGACAGTGTATAATTCACACACAGAGTTTAAAGAAGGGTGGGCCCAGGACCCAGCACATTGCTGATTTCTAAGAAGCTCCCTGTGTGCCTCTCCCCAGTCAGCCTCCCCATCCCTCAAGACTCTGAGTTAACTACAGATCTTTGCTTTGCTGTGTAATTAATTATACTGCTTATAGGAGCAACCCTAGCCAATGCGGTATTTGAAACAGTAGCGAGCACAAGTTGCCAGGGAGAGGGCAGTATTGCCGCTGTTAGATGAAGGCTCCCAGGAGAAGTTGAACAGCCTTTGGGTCTCTGGGTTTGGCTTTAGCTTCCCTACAGCTTGACAAGAGCCTACGCAGAGTTTACCTACCACTGTCAGGGGCTCTGCAGACAGGACATCGTCTACATTATTGGACATACAAATGAACTGTGGTTGACCCTGCTCCGTTAGGCTGTAGTAATTCCTGGGATGTACGGCATCCATAAGGGTATCTTAAATTTTTCCTTTTTGCTTCCTTAGTTTGGAAGCAGAGTCATGCACCTCCCCACCTGCCCTTCCTCTCCCCTTTTCTCTCCCTCCCTCCCTTGCCCGTCTCTGTGCCTTTTAATAAATAAATAAATAAATCTTCTTTAAAAAAAAAAAAAATGAAGGGAGGTGCTGGCATTGAGGTGCCGTGGGTTAAGTCACCACTTGCAGTGCTGGCATCCCATATGGCTGTGGATTCAAGTCCCACTTGCTCCACTTCCAATCGAGCTCCCTGCTCATGTGCCTGGGAAAGCAGCAGAAGGTGGCCCAAATACTTGGACTCCTTCTACCCACATAGGAGACCCAGATGGAGTTTTGGTCTCCTGGCTTCAGGCTAGTCAAGCCCCTGCCATTTGGAACGTGAACCAACTAATGGAAGATATTCTTTCTCTCTCTCTCCCATCTGCCCCCCACCCCCCACTTCCTCCTATAACACTGCCTTTTAAATAAATAAATCTAAAAAAAAAAAAAAAAAAAAAAAAAAGAAGAGGACCAGCTTCACATACAAACATCTTCCTAGGTCAAGTGTTAGGAAGATGAGAGATAGGATATACAGATGGTGTGTGTTGTAGCCAACCAGGTGGGCTTCAGTTGGACAAGTTTCTGCTTCTTATAGTGGTACTGACACAGCAGGCCCGTGGTCCTTGTATAGTCTGCACCTACCTATGTTGAAATTAATAGGCACAGAGCGCATGTGCTCATGGAATGGTGAATATCCATAAGCTGTCATATCAGCAAGGACAGGCCTCAGGGATAATGCGAGGTAATGTTCCCTCTGGAAAGAGGCAGCCAGGATGTTCTAGTCAGGTGATACCTCCGGGTCTGTCCATCCCACTGCTTTGCCAGTGCCTTGGAGGGATGTGGGTTTGTCTTACGGCTATAAGTGACTCTCCCTTTGTTCTGTGCAGACTTCTGCTGGATGTGTCTAGGAGACTGGAAGACTCATGGCAGTGAATACTATGAGTGCAGTCGGTACAAGGAGAATCCTGACATTGTCAACCAAAGCCAGCAAGCCCAGGCCAGGGAGGCCCTCAAGAAGTACTTGTTCTACTTTGAGAGGGTAGGCGTCTTTTCCTGTGCCCATCCCACCAGGGTGGGCTTCTGTGGTTAGCCTACCTGGGTGGGCTGACTGGGCTGACTGGTAGCCAGAGCCAGCCTGTCCATAGAGAACGCAGTGAATGAAGCTCCTGCCAGTAGCCCTGGTGCTACCTCTATACCTGTGCCTTTTAGGCTCTACTGGGTAGCCACAGCTGGAGAGGGACAGGGAACTGACCTCAGTTAACGATGGATGAAAGGATAATGAAGACTCATTAGACAGTTTTCATTCCAGTGCTTTTAAAAAAAAATTATTTATTTATATTTAAAATAGAGAAAGAGAGATCTTCCAACTGCTGATTTACACCCCAGATGCCTACAACGACTAGGGCTGAGCCAGGCCAAAGCTAGGAGCTTTATCCTAGGTCTCCCCTGTGGGTGAAGGGGCACGAGCACTTGGGCCATCTTCCACTGCTTTCCCAGGCCACAGCAGGGAGCTGAAATGGAAGTGGAGCAGCCAGGGCATGAACTGGTGCCCATACAATGGCAGCCTAACCCACTGCGCCGCAACACTGGCCCTCCAGTGCCTTCTTAGTGGTCAGAATTAGGGAATGGTTTCCCCCAGGGAGACCCTTCAGAAGTCAGAGTATGACAGTTGGTCCCTAAGCACAGTAGACTAGTGGGGGCCCCCGCTTTGCTTGGCTGTCAGGGCCAGAGTCCCGTTTCCCCAGCGGGATGGAGTACTTGGGCAGGCAGAGAGCTGTTCTGAGGGTTTACTGAAACTGTTCTCGTGGGTGCACTGAAAGTAAGCCCTTCCTGCACTGTGGAGGCCACACACACTCCCCGTAAGTTCAAGGAGTCTGTCGTCATGCCCTGCCAGCCAAAGGTGTGTCCTGAGTGTGTGGACCTGTGGACTTGTGGACCTCCTGGGATTCCTGCAGCTTTCTCCTTCTCTCTGTGCCCTCTAGTGGGAAAACCACAACAAAAGCTTGCAGCTAGAGGCGCAGACATACCAGCGGATTCATGAAAAGATTCAAGAGAGGGTTATGAATAACCTGGGGACGTGGATCGACTGGCAGTATCTACAGAACGCTGCCAAGCTCTTGGCCAAGGTATCTACCACCTCACTCTTGGATCCCCTCTCCAGTGCCTGGCCCCCATCAGGGCACACCTCTGAGGGTGGGAGGTCTTGTGGGGAGTGGGAGTCGTTAGCACCCTGCACAGCCTCATGTGCTTCTGCTGACAGACCCACATTTCCTTGTGCTGGGCCCTTGAGGGACTCAGTCCTTTGATGGAAGTCAGAGGCTTTCTTTTTTTTTTTTTTTTTTTTTTTTGACAGGCAGAGTGGACAGTGAGAGAGAGAGACAGAGAGGAAGGTCTTCCTTTGCCGTTGGTTCACCCTCCAATGGCCGCCGCGGCCGGCGTGCTGCGGCCTGCGCACTGCGCTGATCCGATGGCAGGAGCCAGGTGCTTTTCCTGGTCTCCCATGGGGTGCAGGGCCCAAGCACTTGGGCCATCCTCCACTGCACTCCCTGGCCACAGCTGAGAGCTGGCCTGGAAGAGGGGCAACCGGGACAGAATCCGGCGCCCCGACCGGGACTAGAACCCGGTGTGCCGGCGCCACAAGGCAGAGGATTAGCCTAGTGAGCCGCGGCGCCAGCCCCAGAGGCTTTCTAAGAATAGTGTTCTGCTGCCTCTGCCTGCAGGGAAAACTAGAATCCCCTTCCTCTCCCTTTGTCCCATCTCTGCGTCGTGCAAAGGAAAATGAAAAGATAGTCTTCGGACAAATATTGAGATAGATATGTGGACTCTGATGTCCAACCCAAGAAGGAGAAGTCACTGAGGCAGTGCTGGTAATAAATCACAGTTTGAAAAAGGAAAGGTGGGTGTCCTGTGATCAGTTCTGTTCTGCTTTCCCCATGTCTTGCCCCAGTCCATCTTCTCCTTGGCTTGGCTCTGATTCTTTGAAGCCCAGACCTGTAGAGCCAGGTTAATCTGCATGGTGGGGCAAGAGTTTTCAGAGCCACCTGAGGTAGAGGTAGGTTAGAATCACAGACACAGGTCCCTTCTCTTCTCTCCTGCTGCAGTGTCGGTACACTCTGCAATACACCTATCCCTATGCGTACTACATGGAGTCTGGACCCAGGAAGAAGCTGGTAAGGCAAAACCGTCCCTGCACTCTGCCCTGGTAGCTTCAGAGGCGCCCTTTCCTTCAGCTCAGGATGGGCCCTGAGCGTTGGGAGGGCAAACTCAGAATGCAGCTATTGAAGTGCAGAATCGGGCAGCTCCAGGCGCATCTCAGGTGCTGTCGTTTGGGCAATAGACAGGCACATGCACCTAAGCCTCCAGATGACCCACCGTGCTTAAAGGGGGATTAGCTAAAAGATTGTGGTTCCTTGGGAGGCCCTGCCTATGCTTTGGGAGGATATCGGCATGCATGTCGCTAGGTTAGAGTCGATATTTTTATACCATTGTTCAATTTTCTTAGGTAAAGTTTTCTTCCCACTGCTTATAAAGTGGTTTGCATTTGTTAATTGTTGGAAAATATTCAAAACTTTTCATTCATAATCTCACCAGAAAGATGACCATTGTTGATTAACATTTTCTAGTCTTTAAAAAGTATATATAAGGAAAAAAAAGTATAGGTAAGACAAGGATATATATATATATATATATATAACTTTATTGTTAGGACAGTTTACTGTTACAGCTGTCACTATTTGATGGACTTGTAAATACCATTTGTTTTAAAGAATATTTATGTAGGGCCCACTGCTGTGGCATAGCAGGTAAAGCCACCACCTGTAGTACTGACATTCCATATGGGTGTCCATTTGAGTCCTGGCTACTCCACCTTTTTTTTTTTTTTTTTTGACAGGCAGAGTGGACAGTGAGAGAAAGAGACAGACAGAGAGAAAGGTCTTCCTTTTGCCGTTGGATCACCCTCCAATGGCCACTGTGGCCGGCGCACCACGCTGATCCGTAGCCAGGAGCCAGGTGTTTCTCCTGGTCTCCCTTGTGGGTGCAGGGCCCAAAAACTTGGGCCATCCTCCACTGCACTCCCGGGCCATAGCAGAGAACTGGACTGGAAGAAGAGGAGCAACCAGGACAGAATCTGGTGCCCCGACCGGGACTAGAACCCGGGGTGCCGGCTCCGCAGGTGGAGGATTAGCCTATTGAGCCGCAGCACTGGCCTGGCTGCTCCACTTTCAATGTAGCTCCCTGACCATATTACCTGGGAAAGCAGCAGAGGATGGTCCAAGTCCTTGGACCCCTGCACTCATGTGGGAGACCCGGAAGAAGCTCCTAGCTCCTGGCTTTGGATTGGCCAGCCCTGGTCATTGTGGCCATTTGGGGAATGAACCAGTGGATGGGAGACTTCTCTCTCTGCCTCTAACTCTGCCTTTCAAATAAATAAACTTTTTTTTTTTTTTTAATAGAATGTATTTGAAAGGCAAAATGATGAGAGGTCTCGTCCATCCACTAGTTCAGTCCTCAAATGTCCATAATGGGAAGGAGGGAGAGGGGAAGGGGAAGGCTGGGCAGGCCAAAGCTAAGAGCCAAGAACTCCATCCAGGTCTCCCACGTGGGTGACGGGGACCAAGCACATGGGCCATACCTCATTGCCTCCCAGGATGCACATGAGCAGGAAGCTGGATCCGAAGCAGACAGGACTCTCTCAGGCACTCTTATATGGGTTGTCAGCGTCCCACACAGTGACAACACACTGCGCCACAATGTTTACCCCAAATATTATTTTTTAATGACTGTAAGTGCTCCATTATAGGGTTGTATGATGATTTTGGGTATTTATTATTTCTGGTTTCCACTATTGTAAATAGGAACTGAGGAAAACCTTTATACACAAAGCTTTATCTCCTCAGATTTATAAGTACTAAGTCAAATGATTAGAGTATTTTCAAGACGCTTGATTTGTAGAAGAGCTGGGAAAAAAATGAAATTAGTGTGGCTGTGCCATGTGGCCATATTCTTCAAGTAGCGTCCCCCCCTTTAACTTATTTGAGAGGCAGAGAAAGCGAGCACGTGCATACCCGCTCCGATCCACTGATTGACTCCCCGAATGCCTGCAGCAGTTCTCGGCTGGATCCAAAGCCAGAACTGAGAACCCAGTCCAGATCTTCTACATGTATGGCAGGCAGGGGCCCAATTCCTTGCTGCCTCCCATTATCTCCATTGGCAGGAGCAGCAGCCAGAGCTGGGTGTTGAGCCCAGATACGCCCATGTGGGATGCAGGCATCTTAGCCAGTGTCAACTGCTAGTTAAATGCCTGCCACTGTGCAACCTTTTGTTTGGATTTTGCTTGCTGGCCCTGGGCTCAGGGAATAACAGTGCTTTCTGAGGACAGTGTCAAGGTTGTCTGTAGCTGCATGTCCCTCTGTCTACTAGCTCTGCCTGGCTGCAGCCCCCTCCTTTTCATCCTCTCACCCTGCCCTTACAGTTTGAATACCAGCAGGCTCAGCTGGAGGCTGAGATCGAAAACCTCTCGTGGAAAGTGGAGCGTGCTGACAGCTATGACCGAGGGGTAAGTGCCTGCTGTCATCTGGCAGATGAGAGGACTGGCCTGGTGGTAGGAGGCACAAGGTACTGCTTTGTGAACTGGAAGCTGCTGCCAAGAGGGTTGGGAAGGGCAGAGTTTTGACTTGTTTGGACCCCCTGGCATGGTACATATGGCTTTGGTTACTCTGCTCCGGAGCCTGGGCCATGCAAGCAGCCATCTTGCTTCCCTGGTGCAGGACTTGGAGAACCAGATGCATATAGCAGAGCAGCGGAGGAGAACCCTGCTGAAGGATTTCCATGACACCTAGGCTGGGACGTGGACGTGCTGGGGTGAGGAAGACGTGGCTGCAGGTCTCCTGACGGCCATGCTGCATGCTGCAGGCTCTGCCCTCACGACCCAGGCGGCAGCCAGGGCCCCACTCCTGAGAGACGCTGGCAACACCTCCTAGTCATTTTACGTTTTCTTCTCATCTTTTTGCTTTTTGTTTCTACCAGGGTAGAGGCCATGTTGAATTGGCCTCTTTTCAGGACTTTTAATTCCCCCTGGATGATTGTTGGGAGGGAGGGAAAGTTTTTTCTGAATGGCTATTAATAGTATTAGATCATTACAACTTACGTAATTTTCAGAGGTTGTATGATTATACAACAAAAAAGGCAAACAAACCATAGGATAACACAAAGCCCTTTTTAAAAATAAATTGGCCTTGGAGTGTTTCACCTTCTAGCTATTTTACTTAGAATGTAACATACTGCCCACCCATCCTGCCTCAGAATGTTTGTGCTGCAAGTGGGCCCCAGGGCGGCCATCACTTTCCAGTTTGACATGTTTAACCACCATTGGGTCCTAAGGGGAAAGCATGGGTGACACATGGTGGGGGGTTGAGGAGGCCTGCATAATGGGCATGGGGTCACATTCAGGCCCCCACCTTCCCTTGGCAATAAGGAGACAGTTAAAATTGAGTCTTCTTGCCATGGGGTGTCGTCACCTCTGGTGGCGCTTGTGCCTGTGGGCTCATCTCTGTTCTTGAAAGTGAGGTTTGCCTGGGTCTGACTCCTGAGGCCAGAGCCCACAGGAAGGTTGTATCCTCCACACAGGAGACACAGGTTCAGCATGGTGCTTCCTTTTGTCTCCTAAAATACAGATCCACTTTTGAGGGGAGTTGTTGTCCAAAATAAATTTGCTTTACTTGGGTCCCTTATGCCAGAATCCAAGTCGTGTCGCTCTGACCAGAGTCAGGGACAGCTGTCTGGGACACTTGCTGCAGTCTCCCCTGACCATCAGGATCAGACTTCAGCGTGCCTTCCCGAGGCACTGGCCTGCTGGCTCAGGGCCGGGTCACGCTGTCTGGACGTGTGGAGCAGCTCCTGAGGGAGAGGCTGTGCTCCCCTCCGCCTGTTTACGAGCTGTCAGAGGATACCGCCTCCAGGGCCTGGGAATTTAAGGCCAAGAGAGTCCTTGGTTTGACGTCCCAGCTCCTGTATGAGGAGTGGCTGACCAGAGGGAAGACCCAACTTTTGCAAGGGAGCAGGTGTTCGCCTGGTGTCGTGCCTGTCCTGAACATGGTCCTGTGGGCCTTTGAAAAGTTAGATCTGTGATCTCTGGGGTTTCTGTGGCTTTGTTCAGTGCCTCCACTCAGACTGGCAGAGCTGTCTGTGCTCAACAGGGCCTCCTTGCCCATCAGGGAGAGCTGATCAGGAGGTCTGGGAATATTGTGGTGGAAATTCTTTGATTTTTTTCATTCATTTTCACCTCCAGTAAGCTGTAAAACTTGAGTCGTTCTTGAAGACAAAAGACAGCTGTGACTCTTGGGGTCATGGGGTACGTGGCTGGCTACGGCTTCCCTTTCTATCCCTTTAGAGTTTATCTCTTCATGTCTTCTTCAGTGAGAAGAGGGACTGTGGGGTGGATTGGGAGAACAAGGTGGGAGTGTAGCCAGTAAACCCAGAATGGAATGGGGTGTGTGTGTGTGTGTGTGTGTGTGTGTGTGTCAAACTGAGTGACAGGAGAGCCCGCTGGGGACCTGTGGTAGGGTGCGAATGCTGTGTTAGCAAAGGAGTAACCTGGTATCTGGAGCCTTTACCTCTCAATAGAGTCCTTTCTTCGACACCCCCATTGCACATGACCTGAGCTGCAGCTCTGTACTCCAAGTCACACCCTGCATTTGGGGGGACTGCACAGCTGCCGTGTCCTGCACTTGCTTCACCTGTGGCCCTGACCATTGGAGCTGCAGAGACTTCTGTGCCGAGACCATGGCCTGTAGCTCCTGGTCTGTGGTGAGCTTCCTTTTGTGCCTCTGGTGGCTGTCTTTCGTTCATGTTATCAGGAAGATGAGGGGAAAAGTCAGGCAGAGTTTTGTACCCTACAAAGGGTAAAAGGGAGAGAGAAAGAGATGTAGTGTTTTCATGATTACCATATTTCTTTGTTTTTCTTCAAAGAAAAAGTTAATCGAGGCAATGTCATCTGCTCAGCATTGAGTAGTTTATTCAAAAATAAACTGTAAGTTTCTGATTATAAAAGTGTGTGTAGAGTCTTTCTTCAAAGGGTCCACCTAGCCTCCTGAACCCCCAAAGGGTCTGGCCAGTGAGCGTGAGATGAGGGACCTTCCCTTTGGAGCTGCCTGGAGAGGGAGCACCTGTATGTGGTCGCCAGGTGGAGGCTGAAATTCTGCTCAGCACTGATGGCCCAGGATGGTGGCAGGGTACTAATGTGAGTGCCCCAGGCCCCATTCAGAAAACCTCTGGGCCTCTCCAAAGCAGGCATGGGAGGTGGGGCCATGGAGCATGGCAGAGGGAGTTGTGGCTTCACAGGGACCCTGCTGTCTATGAAGAAATGAATTGGGACAAAAGCCGTGTTTGGGGGTATAAAAAACCTATGGAATGTAAAAAAAAATCATATTAAAAAAGATACACAGGCTTTATCCTCCAGGAGCCTCCAATCCCTGGGCACACAGATGGAACTGGTCACAAGTGAATATTTTCCCTGAGCAGCATGGCCGGGGGCTAACGGACCTTCCATGCACAGGGCTGCCCCTCTGAGTATCAGTGGAAAAGAGTGCCATGGAGTCTGCACCATACCCTTGATGATCCTAAAAAGCGACAAGAGGAGACAGCACATTCTAACTATGTCTGGTGGCAGGATTGTCCATGTTGCCCCCAAGGGTTCAACACCAGCAGCTGAGCATCACTTGTATGTTGGGTTCTGTTCTGGGCACTGAAGTCATGGTTGTCAGCCGACAAGCCAGGGCAGTTCATGTTCCTGCAAGACAATCACTAATGGTGGTTGCGCATAGGCCCACTCAGTCCTTACCGTCTCCCTGTGAGGTAGCTGGTCAAAACCAACTTACCCAGGGCCACTGGCCACTGCTGGTAAGTGGCAAAACAAATTATATTTGCTGTTAGAAACTACCGTGGAAGTCCAGTTACAGACGAGAACACGGATTGACACAAGCCCCAGACTTTACTGTGTGGGTACCAGCGGGTGAGGCAGCACTACCATGGCATCAAAAGGAGCAGAGTTTTTTTTTTTTTTTTTTTTTTGACAGGCAGAGTGGACAGTGAGAGAGACAGAGAGAAAGGTCTTCCTTTGCCGTTGGTTCACCCTCCAATGGTCGCCGCTGCTGGTGCGCTGCAGCGGTGCACCGCGCTGATCCGATGGCAAGAGCCAGGTGCTTCTCCTGGTCTCCCATGGGGTGCAGGGCCCAAGCACTTGGGCCATCCTCCACTGCACTCCCTGGCCATAGCAGAGAGCTGGCCTGGAAGAGGGGCAACCAGGACAGAATCCGGTGCCCCAACTGGGACTAGAACCCGGTGTGCCAGCGCCGCAAGGCAGAGGATTAGCCTAGTGAGACGCGGCGCCGGCCGGGAGCAGAGGTTTTTAAGGCCAAGAAATGGTGCTGTGTGATGTGGTTGTGAAATTCCCACAGTGGACAGCAGGTGGATAGAATAGAGGTGAGAGATTCTTGCAGCCTATTTGCCACTCTGCCTGGCAGCCTAACTCAGTTCAGGGAAATAGGTTAAAGTATGTGAGAATTTTATGCTGACCTAATTATACTGTTTTAAAGTCTGGAAGGAAATAGTCTCAACATTGATTCTTCGGGACCAAAAAGCAGCGAGATCCCTGGTACTAACCAAGGCTTGGGTGTGATTCTGTTGCTCTGTATTCATCATACTGAAGAATGTAGGAGAGTCCTATGGTTTTGGGAAGTTTTACTACTGTATTTGAAATTGAGACTTCTAACTGGAGCAAATTAAAAGACAAGCTGTAGGCAATTATTTTTAAGATTTATTTATTTATTTGGAAGGCAGAGAGGCCGAGGCTGAGAGGTCTTCCATTTGCTGGTTTACTCCCCAAATGGTCGCAACAGCTAGAGCTGGGCCAGGAGCCAGGAGCTTCTTCGGGTCTCCCATGAAGGTGCAGGGGCCCTTCTTCCACTGCTTTCCCAGGCCATTAGCAGGGAGCTGGATCGGAAGTGGAGCAGTGGAGTTTTGAACTGGGGCCTATACGGGATGCCAGTGCTGCAGGCAGCAGCTTTACCTGCTATGCCACAGCTCCAGCCCCGCTGCAGGCAATTTGAACAGTCCTAAATTGGTGATAGAATTTCCAGCTATTTGAGAAACATTTCTTTTGGAACTTATTTTAGGAGAAAAGGACCAGGTCCTTACTGCCTCCGCCTCTGCACCTGGCAGGTTTTACGCAGTGAGGGGAGGGGAGTGTTCCCCCCTTGCATGGCTGCCACCTGAGTTTCACTTCCCACTCCGTGTGAAGCGGGATGCTGCACACTGGTGGTGCCTGGCTCGCACCCCAGGTTTAGCTAAGCCACAACAGTTCTCACTGATACCTGCTTCCTCTCTGTCCCCGGGAAGTCCACAGCCTCTCCTTCTGTGGGACATTGTTTCTCTGCAGTATCCTCAAGAATTGGCAACATGGCCCCTGAGGGTGGCTGGATGAGTGATGCACCATGTGCTTAAGGTGCTGGTGAAACCTGCGTTGTGTTTAGAATCTCAGGAGGCAGGCCTGCAGGAGCTCCTGGCCTGCCCTGAGACCAGACAGAGAAGACTCTGTGGGAACTGGGAAGAGGCCAGTGGGGCCTGCCTTGATAGTGTTCTTGTCCGCATGGCCACCTCGGGGGTCAGTCACTGTCGTGGGCCATGTGCGTCTCCACCTGAAGACAGCCGTACCAGAAAAGAGCAGAGCACAGACTTGCCTCCGCACTTGCTCTGCCCTCCTGCCCCTATTTCTGGGTGATGATCTGAGTTTAATTTTCCTCTGAGGTGATGGTGTCTGTCCCTGCCTGCAAAGCTTGGCAGCTTTGCGGCAAGGCGTGTTCCCACAGCCTCAGCACCGGTTGTGTTTGTGCGAGGTACTGTCGGGGGCTGACCGTCCTGATATCAGAATTCTGGAGAGCCCACTCCGACCGTCCCAGTCTGGGCCACGGCCGCCCGGAAGACCCCGCGCGCACTTTGGGCAGCTACTTGCTAAGGCCTGACTGCCACGGGCCTCCCCGGGAGATGCAGACCTCCAGGAATGCCCAGCAAGAAAGCCCGTGAGTCCGACTCCAGCGTCACGTGCGCAGCAACAGCCTCCGCGGAGCCCCGGACCGCCGCAGGATTGAGTCATCTCTTGGCTCTGCCTCTTCCCCCCTCCCCCGTTCCAGGCAGGGTGAAAATGCGGACCGCACTTTTCTGCGAGGGGAGGGGGCGTCCTGACCCAGGAGTGGAGGAGCTCCCGGTGGGGTCTGCCTTCATGGTGCTGCTGTCATCTGTATCTGCGTTGCGGGGTGGGGGTGGGGGTCTGCCCTGGGGAGAGTACGGCCGTGCCTAGGGTTAACCCAGTTCGCAGGCCCGGTGCAGACTGGGGTCGGAGGTGCAGAGAGGCCGAGCTGCGCACGAGCCAGGGCGGCGCCGCCGGAGCGGCACAGCATCCCCAGGCGCTGTCTCCTAGTGACCGCGGGGCGCGCGGGCTCGGCGGCCGTTGCCCGGGCGACTGCGCAGCGCGGGCACCCCCGCGGCCCCTCCCCTGGGCGCGCGCGCGCGACCTGGGCGCCATGGCGGCGGCGGCGGCGGCGGCGGCCGCTACTGGCCAGCAGCGGCCTGAGGCCGCGAGTCCGCGGTGGGCGCCGCCGGAGCACGGCGACGGCGAGGACGCGCCGGTTCGGCCGCTGTGCAAGCCCCGCGGCATCTGCTCGCGCGCCTACTTTCTGGTGCTGATGGTGTTCGTGCACCTGTACCTGGGCAACGTGCTGGCGCTGCTGCTCTTCGTGCACTACAGCAACGGCGACGAGAGCTCCGACCCCGGGCCTCAGCGCCGCGCCCAGGGGCCCCGGCCCGCACCGACCTTGGGCCCCCTCACCCGGCTTGAGGGCATCAAGGTGAGGACCCCCGCCCCTGCCCCGCCCCGCCGCGGTCCAGGGCCTGTGGGGCCGAACTGGAGGGGACCGCGCTCAGCCCGTGGCGCCCACCCGGGGTCCCGCGCGCGCGCGCCCACTCGCTCGCCCCCCTGCGGCGCTCCGGGACGCGGCGGCCTTGCCCTGACGCCCCAGCGGCCCGCTGTGCGCCTTTCCCTTAGGTGGGGCACGAGCGGAAGGTCGAGCTGGTCAGCCACAGGGAGCACATGATCCGAACCCTCAGCCTCAAGCCGCTGCTCTTCGGTAAGTCCGCCCGCGCCCCTGGGAAGGGCCGGGGGCTGCGGCTGGGTGGCCAACTCGGGGCTCCTGTGGACCACGTGACTTATGTTTTGAAAATGGCTGCTTCAAAGGAGCCCTTTTATCCGTCCGGAGGATGAGCCTAAGCTTCCCGGGGCACCCTGCCCACCCCGGCTCTGAGCCCTGCGGCCGCCGGCCCTTCCTCCGTCGCAGGGCCGAGCGGTGTGGGCCTGGAGCGAGCGTGTAATCTGCAGTGACACCATCTTTAGACATTGAGTGCTGGCGTTATTTCGGCCATTGGGGGGGGGCGGGGGAAGGTCATTGATAACCGGGTCCGGGTAGATATCCCACTCCTCAAGTACATCTGCGGTCTGAGAGGAGGGGTCTGTCCCAGGGCGGCTCCCTCTGTGCCCCCAGCCAGCCTGCCCCAGCGTTTGCTGCCTGTACCCTGGGATTCTCTCACAGTGAGCAAAGCCTTGCAGAGTGGCCCTGTTGGGAGCCATGTGTCCCTGTGGTCATTTCATTCAGTTCTTAGACCCGCTCCCGGAGGTGGATGTAGTTCCCACCCTGGGGCCGGCGGGTGACAGAGTGGGGCAGGGGGAGCTGCAGAGGCTTGGCCTGGCTCGCAGAAATGAACGTTAGAGCCCAGGCAGCCTGCCTCTGGTGCCCGCACACAAGCCACAGTGCTGGCTATGAGGACCCCAGAGCCCTTCGAAGACCACCCGTGTCATCATGGTGAGAGCACCAGCCCCACGGACCCTGCCCTGAGTAAGTTCATGCATCCCAGCGCGGGGCACCCCTCCTCGTGAACCCCGGGGCCCCGCCTGGCTGCTGCGGGTGGAGAGGGTAGGCAGTGTTAGGGAGCAAGGTGGGACCAAAGCCGGGCACTTAACTCCCTGCTTGTGGGCTATGCCTGGAGCCGTGAGGATGCTGTCTTTGAGGAAGTCACTTACGCTGTCAGTTCTGCCCTGACAAGCGGTGGTTGTTATTATGCTTGTAAGTACTTATTTGCTTGAAAAGCAGAATGACAGAGAGAGAGAGAGAACGAGAATGGGAGACAGACAGGGTGAGACAGAGAGAGGTCTTCCATCCACTGATTCATTCCCCAAATGCCTGCCACTGCTGGGCCTGGACCATGCCAAAGCCAGGAGCCTCTGACATGGGAGCGGGGACCCAAGCACCTGGGCCACCTTCCACTGCTTCCCCAGGTGCATTAGCAGGGAGCGGGAGCGGAAGCAGAGCAGCTCAGGCCCTAACCAGGGCTCCAATATGGGACACCTCCGTCACAAGGGGCAGCTTAACCACTGCCCCCACACACCGACCCTGTTATTTTTACTGCTACTGCATGACATGGAGGTCTGCTAGGTACCATTATAGGTGCTGGAAGCATAGCATTGAACAAGAAAAGAAAAGAAAAATGGGGCAGGGGGAACCCAACAAAACAAAACCCCTGAAGCTGACATTGAAATGAGGAAAGAGACAATAAACAAATACAAGAGTGAACAAACCCTGGGTGCCAGATGGTGACACGTGACTGCAAACAAGCAAGGCAGATTTCCCTGGGGTTGAGCTCTTCCGAGGGTAGTCAGGATGGGCTTCCCGGAGAAAGAGACTTGAGCAGGCCCTGTGGGAGGCCCGGGGTCGAGGCACCGGCCGGGACCAGGAGCAGCAGAGGGAACGGCTCTCGCCTGCTGCACACCGCGTGGCTCCAGCCCTGCTCTCTCCCTGGGTCTCTGTTTAATTCAGCAGCGTGTGAGGAGGAGTGAGCCATGGGGCCAGCGTGCAGGAAATTAAAACTGAAGAGCCCAAGAGCAGATGTAAAGGAAACAGGCAAGAGCTGGCAAAAGGCGAACTGGTTCTGGGGACGCCAGCAGATGGGCCCCTGCTTCCTCAGATGACGCATTCAGAGATTTGGGCAACTGCACCGGGAACTCTCCCAGTCTGCCGTCCTCCTCTCCCCCAGCACGCTTTAGGCACAAGGCAGCTGGTGGACACGGCGTCCCAGGTTTTACCCGGCAAGCGCTAGGGCTTGCTTGCTGCTTGGGGCGATGAGGTGGTGATGGGCCCAGCTGTAACAGGGGAGCTGCGGGGCGGACGGGGGCTGTTCAAGGCAGGGCGGTTCCTGACTGCCGTGTGTGGATGAGTCCGAGAAGGGGCAGTGTCTGTCTGTCTGTCTGTTGTGCCCGCCTGCCCGTCCGCCCGTTGATCTGCAGTCCCCACTGTTGTTCTTCACTCCGCAGCTGCTCTTGGCTGGATTCTACCCCAGGGTGCCTCCATCTCTGTGGAAGGGGACCCCTCCACTTCACAGCAAAGGCCCCGTGCAACCTTCAGTTTTCTGTCTTTGGGGAAGGGCTCCTGTTTCCCACCCTTGCTCCTAGGGCGTGCGGCCCCTGGGGACTGGGCCTGAGCTCCCGGCAGATTCTGTGCATCTCCCAAGGATTCGGAACACGGAGACTCAGCCGAGGACCTCACCCAGTTCAGCTCAGTTCAGTAGTGAAGTGCTGCGTTTCTGGGTCATTGTCACCTCTCTGGGGACAGCGTTTCTATGTCTGGCTCACTGCCCCACCCCACTCACTGCACCCTCATCTGTCTTTAAACAGCAGATCAGATCTTGTCACTCCCTTCCTTAATCTCCAAGATTTCTCATTTCTCTCCTAGGTCTCATTTGGTGCCTCAAAGCCCTTACCTCCGGCCACCACCAGACTCCCCCGGCCCTACTTACTCCCTCCAGGTTCTCACACACCAAGCTCACTGTTCCCCACAACAAGGCTGAGACCAGGCAGGCCTCTGCTCAGATTCACCCTCCTCAGAGACCCCACTTAGACCAGTTTTTTTTTTTTTTTTTAAAGATGTATTTATTTATTTGGAAGGCAGAGTTACAGAGACAGAGAAAGGCCTCCCATCTGCTGGTTCACTCCCCAGATGGCCGCAGTGACTGGAGCTGGGCCAATCTGAAGCCAGGAGCCTGCAGCGTGGCCTCCACCTCTACCACTGCAGCAGGGGCACTGGCAGTGAGCCAGCCAGAATTTTTTGGTTTTGTTTTTACAGATTTATTTATTTACTTGAAAGCAGAATTACAGAGATAGAGAGGGAGATCTTCTATCCACTGGTTCACTCTCCAGATGGCCCCAAAGGCCATGGCTGGATCAAGAGCTTCTTCCACGTGCTATCCCACATGGGTAGCAGGGGCCCAAGCACTTAGGCCATCTTCTGCTGCTTTCCCAGGCCATAAGCAGGGAGCTGGATTGGAAGTGGACCAGCTGGGACTCGAACCAGCACTCACTCATGGGTTGCCGGCATCACGGGCAGCGGCTTTACTCGCTGTGCCACAGCACTGGTCCCTCAGCCAGAGTTTTAATCCATTTTTCTTAACTGTTAAAAGTAAATGAGTCATTGTCATCAGTACACAAAACAATTTATTTAAAAATTGTGACTGCATTGTCATAGGATTTCCGAAGGTATTCTTTTTCAGCTTAAGAAACAATGAGGCAGTGGCATCAGACTACATGCTTTTGAAAACACTGGAGGCCCAGAGGTGGGAAAGAATTGAAGTTTCTCAGCAACTTGATGTGGTTTTCTGTGGCCCACCTCGCCACACCCTGCCCTGTTACGGGCCCGAGGCTCAGCAGAGCTGTGAACTCGGGAAATGCCCAGCAGGTGCAACTGAGTCTGTCTCAGGCTGCAGAAGCAGCCTCTTGGCAGGCTGCGTGCCTGCACTGAGACGCAGTGTAGGGTGTCTGCCTGTGAGCAGTAGCAGGGCATTGGCTTGGCTCCTGTCCAGGCCTGAGGAGGACAGAAAAATGGTCTCGCCTGCCCAGCACACACGGCTGCGTCTGCCGTGTTCTTGGCTGGCAGGAAGCAGTTTTCATGGAAGCTGGCCTCTACCCTGCTTGAGCCCTGGTCTCTCTGCACTAGGGTTTTAGGTGTATGTGGGGAAGCATACATGGTTTGCATGACCACTGCAGAGGCCGTGGCTACAAAGTCCCAGCCTCTGCTGGCCAGGGTCAGCCACTATTCTTGGCACTGGTGATGGTGCCACCTGCGCACAGCCAGCTGCAGATTCCGGTGGCCTCGGCTCCAGGCATAGGCTGTGGTTACCAACAGCCGGTGGTCCTGCACCTTCCCGCTCAACACATAGGTCCCTGTGTGCCTTCCTCGCAGGAGGTTGTACACACACGTGACGTCCAGCTGCAGCGAGCGTCGCAGGGTGGGTGCCAGCTCTGTGGGGGGCAGAGGTCCCGTCTTCAGCACCTCTAGTCTTGAGTCCAGGTCACAGCCCCAGGGGCCAGAGGTTGTACTGTTGCACCAGGAGAGCCTGACCTTCACTGCTGAATGGGATCAAAGGGGTCGGGTGATGAGTTGGGCTCCTGGGGGGTCCCAGTCCCCCACCTCGTGCTCCCCCCGGAATCCGGCTCATAGGGCTGCCACCCCCTTCACATGAGCTGTGTTTTGTTATGTTTGTTTTTGTCATGTTAGGAATATCCCATAGTCCTACAGGTATTTATGTTGTCGCTCTAGCCTGGCATAGCACCTGGGTATTCCCTCTTACGTTTGCACTGAGCCGGGGGCTAGAACGGAGGCACTTGGAAGGGGTGTGACACGCATGCTACACACTCAGGGCTCACCAAAGTCGCTGGTGCAGAACGTGTCTAGGACCTCCTTGGATGAACCTGCGACCTGCAGCTCGCAGTCCCGGCAGCTGGCCTGTGGCACTGTGGGGGAGGGTGCAAGTGAGGCAGTGGGTCCGCTGGGGGTGGGGGTGGCGGTGGGCGGTCAGCACAAGGCCCTCCTGCTTTGCCCCTCTCTGGTACTCCCTTTGAGTCCGCCTGCGGCTGGCGACCCCTTTTTATCCGTTTACCTGCTCCCCTCGGAGAATGATTTGAAGGGGGGGGGAGGGGAATGAGGGGGAAACTACCTGGGAAGCTGTGCAGAGACTCACATGGGCGATCCAGGCGGGAGCTGCTGGCCACGGCTCCAACACAGAGACCATGGCTAGCAGGGAAGCGTCCACAGTGCAAGATGGCTGGCCAGGGGTAGCCGTAGCAGGCCATGATGGGCGCGCAGCTGGCCTGCACGGCCTCACACAGACTGCGGCACGGGTAGATGACCCTGCAGGAGAGGGCAGCGTAACCACAGGCTGGTCACCCAGATCAGCTGGGGGCGCTCTGTGCTCCTAAGGGTGCCGCGAGGAGAGGCACGCTCCGCAGTTGCTAGGCAACGACACTCAGGTCGCCTAGCAACAACTCTGCAGCCTGGCTCTCCCTCTGCCCCACTGCTCTGTGCTCAGCCCCCAGCCCTGTACTCCTCTCCGAGGCCCCTCTTATCTCCCCAGCCCAGGCTTCTTTCCGGCTTCCCAGTGCACCTCACCCTGCAGCTCTGTGGCCACCCAGCACCTGCAGGGTTCGGGAGAGCCCTGCCTCTGGGCTCTCACACTCAGTCCTCAAGGGAGAGAGCAGGGCCCTCCCTCTCATCCTGCAAGACCTTCAGGGTCTTGCAGTCTCTGACCAGGGTTGGAGGTGGCAGAGAATGCAGGGGCCGGGTCCTCGAGGTCTCGAAGAGCCCAGTCTTGCTGCTACTGACAGGGCCACCCAGAGGCTCTGGGAAGGACCTTGCTCTGTCACACAGGGAGCTGTAGCTCACAGGGTAGGTTAGGCTGGGGAAGAGGAATCGCCTCATGGCTCTGGGCTCTCCAAGAAATGGCCTGCAGAGGGGCCTGGGCTCCATCTCTTGTCAGGATCCCTTGGGCAGACAGAGCCCCCATGCCTCCCTGGAGAGACCCCTGAGGCCTCTAGGCTGCCCGCAGATCACTCGTCATGCTCAGGAACCCTGGACGGGCCGTGGGCCAGACAAGGGGCCAACCCCATGTGCTCACCATTACTTGTCCACTGCCCTTGTCGCTGCCGTGCCATCTGCTTCCCTCTGCCAGAATCACTCCGACCAGACAATCCTCCATTTGCCCCTGCCCCTGGCAGCACCCAGCACCGCTAGGTACTTGGCCAGGATTGGTGCTCTGCGCTTCCAGGGCAGGCCCTGACTGAGGAGGGGTCCCTCCACCCCCACACCTTGGAGCCCCCATCATACCTGTCAAGGCACACAGGGGCAAAGAGGGAGCAGAGGAAGAGGCGGGCATCAGGGTGGCACTCCCGGGCAAGCAGGGGAAGCCAGCTGACCGACTGTTGAATGGCCTCAGCCGCTGTGGTGTGGTCCAGCAGGTTGGGCAGCCGCATCTCTGTGTAGCCAATGTCATGGCACAGTGCCATGGCTGGGGGAATGGGCATGCACCGTGTGGGGCCCCAGGGAGCCCCCGCTGCACTGTCACCCCATAGTGCCAGCAGCACCAGCAGCAGCCACGGCCCTCGCTCCATCATTCACTTTCTCTGTTCTGGCCTCAGTGAACTGTGGTGCCGGGTTTTATAGGGCTGGGCCTGCGCTCCGGGAGGAGGCCCTGCAGGTGTTTGCACAGCTCCCGGGAGCTGAGACCCACCTGGCCAGGCCCCCACATGCTGACAGGGCTGTTTGTTTTTGATTAGTGCTCCACAGGGGGCTGCAGAGGCTGGCAGCCCACCTCCACCGGGCCTGCGGATCACTGGCGCCTAATAAACTGAAGAAACCTGGACCTGTGTTTTCCTTTTCTGGCTGGCTCTCTTTGCCTTTTTTTTTTTTTTTTTTTTTTTTTAATTGTATGTGTTGAGCAATCAAGAGATGACTGTTGACCAGCAGTTTGGTCTGACCCCACTGTGCAGCAGGGCTGTCTCCTAATGGCTGTTTCCACACCCTTCCTGGGCATGCTGCACGTGGGGGTTGTGCAGGCCGGAGTGGGAGAGGGTGTGTGGCGATGTTGTCCTGTCCTCAGCGTCATCACATCCAGGATCCCATATTCACCTGGACGCCACATCTGGTGGTGAGCATGGGTCCTGGAGGGTAACGGCCTGAGCGGCTCCGGCCGGTGGCTGCTCTCTGCTCTCTGGCTTTCTCTCCTGTAGGCAGGGTGGGTTCTTGGGCTCCCAGGATGAGTGAGGTTCAACAAGCTGATGTATACGAAGTGCTCAGAGCAGTGCCTGGGGCGCAGTCTCTGCTGCCTTGGTTTCTGCTATGCCCTGGGCTCTGGTTTCTGTTAAGAACTGCTCTCACCCTGGCTCTGGGATGCCCCCTTCCTTCTGCTTGCCAGTGACTGCTGGGAGTGTGACTGAGAGAAGGGCAGCCCGCGCTGCAGGTGGCTGTGCCTGTGGCCCTTCCTCTAAGCAGGTCCTTTGTAGACCTCCTGTCCCCCAAGGAAGTCCTGTGTTCCCGAAACAAGAGAAGGAAGCAAGACCGAGGCTTCTGCCCTGGAAGTGCTAGGATGGGGGCTCCCCGAAGTGTGAGGCTGGAGTTCCAACTTCCCCAAGCCTGGAAGCCGCATCTGCACGCTGTGTGTGCCTTGGGTGTGGGCGCCCAGCCCCTGGGGCCAAGCTGTAGGCTAAGTGACTCTTACATGCAGGGGCTCAGAGACACAGGGTAGCCACTCATCTACGTTTGTGCCAGAATGAATGGGGAAAGCCAAGGACAGCCAGGGCATCCTCTCAGAAACCACAATCTGCCAAAAAACAAAAGCAAAGAGATACTCTGAGTTACCCCACTGACCTCTCAGCCCTGGTCAGGTGACCAAGCACCCACTCGTGCAGAACGGAGGGCAAGGCCCTCAGGCTGGCCTAAAGCATTCGATGTCCTGTGCTTTGTTTTTATTTGAATGATGCTAACAAGCAAGAAAGCTAAAGCAGGAGCCAGCTGTCATCGCCCCTATATTCCCAGGAAGAAGCAGAGGTCAGCAGCCCACATCCAGCGTAGCTCCCGCTTGCCCCCAGGTCTCCCCTGGAAAACGCGCGGCGCCGTCATCTAGAGGGGCCCCGCATCGCAGGCACTGGCCAGTCTTTGCAGGACGGCTCAACTCTGACCAAGGCCGCGTGAAGTCCTCCCGACCTGGGGGCCTCCAGGGGACGGGGAGGAGGATCCTGGGTGCACCAGCGTCCTGGCTCAGCCCTCGGCCTCACCCGCCACCTCTCCTGGCAGAAATCCCCGGCTTCCTGAGTGATGAGGAGTGTCGGCTCATCATCCACCTGGCCCAGATGAAGGGGCTGCAGCGCAGCCAGATCCTGCCCACCGAGGAGTATGAGGAGGCCATGAGCACGCTGCAGCTCAGCCAGCTGGACCTCTTCCAGCTGCTGGACCAGAACCGTGATGGTCGCCTGCAGCTCCGTGAGGTTGGGATCCCGGGATCCCATGGGGCGGGAGTGCCCGGATTTACCTCTGTGGCAGCCACGTCATTTGTCCAGCTCGACCTTGTCCCCAGGAGTCAGACGCCACTCCAGGCTTGTTTGGGCATGCCCTGGCCTCAGGCCCAGGGTCTCCCCTCCTCCACGGGACCCCAAGCATGGCAAGAGATGCCATCTGGACATGGTGGAGTTTATTGCCACAGTGCGTTGAGCGGCTAACATCTGTGGTCTGCATTGCTTGCTACCATGGCCGGGACCCCACAGAACACCTGGTGGATGGGATGGCCATTCCGAAGTGGCCTGCTGTCTGCATTTCCTTCGGTCTGCCCTTCACACCCGGGCTTCTGAGAGGAGACTGGGGGGTCACTCTCACCCCACTGAGCCTGGTCTTCCTCAGGGGCCTGGGTGCCCTGGCCAGGACTCCCCCAGCCCTACGTGTCCCTCCTGCACAGGCAGGCCGTGAGCAATTTCCCCCGCCCTGGGATTTGTGAATGTGACACAGGTCTCCTCCTCTCTGCCTCCAGGAAGTCAGCCGTGCTCCCTGTGGGGGCTGCAGATGTCCCCTGGGCCTCTTGACCCTCTTCCTGGCCTCCTCCCGAGACACCTCTGGACTACTCTGCCTACCCTCGCATTAGCCCAAGGACCTTGGCCGCTGTCCTGTGTTCACACCCACACGCTGCCACCTCAGCCCGTAGCTCTACAGCAGGAGGCGGGCCATCGGTGCCCTGGTAGCTCTCCACCGCTGGGCTCGCCCCACTGAGGGACGCTCTCGTGCTTTAGGTCCTGGCCCAGACTCGCCTGGGAAGTGGACGGTGGATGACTCCCGAGAACATTCAGGAGATGTACGCGGCAATCAAGGCTGACCCCGATGGTGACGGTGAGCTCACACTGCTCCGTGGCTCTGTCGCTGGGAGCTGCCCGTCCACTCCCAGGTGCCTGGCCCTTCTCCCCAGCTAAGCAGCCCCTGCGCCCAGCTTCTGTGGTAGCCAGAGCTGAGGAAGTGAGGACGCAGCCTGGCCCCCGGCCCAGGAAGCAGGTCATGACAGTCTAGAAGGCAGACCATGGAGACGTTTTGGACTTCATCAGAAAAAGTCTAGAGTCCGTGGCATGGGTATAGGGCTGCTCGTTGGCAGAGGGCAGAGTGATGGAGTGGCAGCAAGGGGATAGTTCGGCCTCTGAGCTTGGCTTTTCACCGTGCTGCACCCCATGCCCCCAGCCAATGTCGGGTCTGCTCCCACGGCTCCCTGCTGCAAGCTAGGGCTCTTTGGCCTGCCTTTGGCCACCCTTTGGTGTTTTCATGCCCAAGCACCGAGAGTGGTAGTGTTGCTAACGTTGCTGACCGCTGCAGGAAATGGAGCTGTCATGCAAATGGTCCCCCCTCTGCTAACAACACACGAGAGGTTTCTGAGGTGCTGTGGTCAGCACCCTCATGCCCGAATTCTGGACCAAATGAAGAGGAAACAGCAGTCAGACAGGACTTGGAAGGATGGCCTTGTGGCTGCTGAACCCATAGTGAAGAAATGGGTGGGCCCTGTGGCTGGAGGACTGTCACACTGCTACTGCCCCCAGTACAGGGCTGATGGCAAGCCCACAGCCCTTGAATGTCCCCCTTTCTCAAAAGAATCTGGGCCAAAGGGAGGCAAGTGTCTTCCTTGGGCCAGCCAGGATGTAGCACCAGCTACTCTTCCAGACCCCCAGGGGGATGCAGCCGCTGCTCCGTGGTCCAGGAGACTTCTCACCTGGGGGAACAGCCTGGCCTTCTTGGCTAAGGTGGGCTGCTAACCCAGCAGACAGTCCTGGCCAGGTTGGCTGCACCCAGGCCACGACCTGAGGTCAGGAGAGATCGCCAGGGGCTGACTGGCCTGCACTGCCCGGTGGTCAGCCCCTGACGACACCCAGGCCTGGCTGTTCCCTCCTGAGTGCTGGACTGTGGCGATCGGCCGGGCCAGGCTTGGGGGCCAAGAGTGCTCGCGGGCCCGGGGCCCTGGCTGTGTGGCTCAAGCTTCCTTTGGAGACCCTGCTCCGGCCACTCTCGTTGGAGTTGGGCTGCTTCTTTTGGGGGGCCAAAACAGCCCTGAAACTGAGAAAACAAACTCTGGGTCTTCCCTGAGAGCCTGGTATGACAGAAGCCAGGTTCCCCTGGGGTGGTGGGGAGCGGGGAGGCGGTGCGGCCTGCCGCCGTGGCTCCGCGGGGCGGGTGGGCAGTGATGGCGGGCGCCCTGTGCAGGAGTGCTGAGTCTGCAGGAGTTCTCCAGCATGGACCTTCGGGACTTCCACAAGTACATGAGGAGCCAGAAGGCGGAGTCCAGTGAGCTGGTGCGGAACAGCCACCACACGTGGCTGTACCAGGGTGAGGGTGCCCACCACGTCATGCGTGCCATTCGCCAGAGGTGAGCCCCTGGGGCCGTCCTAGCTGGGGCAGGGCCTCCCCAGAATCCTTAGCCCCGGCTGAGAGGACACAACTGATTAACCAGCCTGGGATTAAGTTCCACTTGTCAGACCAGGATGGGGGCCCTCTGAAAGACAGGCAATTAACGAAGGCAAATTAGTCTGAGATGTGGGCAAACAAAATACAATTGAGATTAGAAAGAAATCATTTGTTCTTTGCTAATTGGAGAAGAGACCCCCTTATCTCTGCCCCTGAGCAGACAGGGGTTTTAGATAAATACCCTCCTTCCTAGGGGGAGGGCCTCAACCTTCCCAGTCTGCCAATTTAGTGGAAATCTCATCTGTCCCACCTGGTGGGCGTCTCCAGCATGAGTAATCGCTTCCCGATCTCACAGGCCAGGGCCAGTCTGAGATGGCTCAAGGGGGCTCCCAGGGGATGCGGGCAGGGGCAGAGCTCATGGCAGGCCCCGGGGCCCACCGTGGCGGGCTCATTCAGGCCACCACTGTGCATCAGGCTGTGCACCTGAGTGCCTTCTGCCTGGCAGGGTGCTGCGCCTCACTCGCCTGGCGCCTGAGATCGTGGAGCTCAGCGAGCCACTGCAGGTCGTGCGATATGGCGAGGGAGGCCACTACCACGCCCACGTGGACAGCGGGCCCGTGTACCCGGAGACCGTCTGCTCCCACACCAAGCTGGTAGCCAACGAGTCCGTCCCCTTC